GTCCTTCTGCTTTCCTAAGCATGCTGTCCTTCTCCAGGGACTGGTCTCCCCTGGGAACATGTCCAAAGGACATGAGATGAAGTCTCACCGTCCCTGCCTCTAAGGAGCACTCTGGCTGTACTTCTTCTGAGGCAGATTTGTTTGTTCCTTTGGCAGGGCACGGTACTTTCAATATTCGTCCAGCACAGCGCCACACAAGCCACCGCAGTACGGCACACTGACGGACAAGCAGTGGCTGGGCTCGGCCATGGGTATGCTGGGTGACATGTTTTGCTGAGGTGCGAGCAGCTTGCATCTGAGGAATAGGAAGGCCTTCCCCAAGCTCCGCCCGTGTGTGCCGTCAAGATCATGCAGGCTTCTACACACAGCTGTTACTGGTCCCAGCGCTGCGGGAGGCAAACTGGTCTTGGGACTGCCCCAAAGAGGAGAGGAATTTCCGTCGCCCTCTTTGGCCTCATTTGTTCCCTTTGCCAGTTGTTCCCCTCCCACCCTCTGCTCCCCCCCACCCCCTGCCCCGCCACACATACATTAAAAACAAAAATGCCAGTGGCAGCGGAGTGGACATTGACTCCCGGTGACCCCATGTGGGTCAGCACTGTGCTTCCCAGTGACTGACTTTCAGAAGGAGAGCCCCAGGCCTTCCTGTGAAGGTGCCTCTGGGTGTGCTCCTGTTGGTCAGTGGCTGAGCATGTTCATGGTTGCACCACTCGGGGCTCCCTAACTAGAGGAAGAGGGTGAGGTGGGGGCGGGGAGGACTGGCACAAGATTAGAACCTTGTCTCTTCCTGGGACCAGCTGCCTGACTGTAGGGCAGTTACTTCAGCTCTCAGAAGAGCTCACCTGTAAACTGGGAACAATGCCTATCTCTCTGGATTATAGGAGATGAAGCATGTTGAAGGCAATGAATCAATGATGGCCGTGAGCACTTTTAATTCTCACTGGATAATAAAGTCAGTACAGTTTGTTGGACGTTTCAGGCCAGTTCTGCCCCTACCGTGTACGCCGGGTCCATCATTCTTCTCCAGTTTCTCTGTTGCCACACTTACCTGTGTGTGAACATCTTTTATTAGACCTGCCGCCTCAGCGTCTGACGGTCTGTTTCTACTCATTTGCCACCTGGCAGCCAAGGCCGTCTTAAATATGCATGACACTCATCCTCACTGACCGACATGGTTAGGTCCCAAAGACCAGGTCATTGTATCAAAATTGGCAAACTGGAGAATGTGGGGGTGGAGGATGGCTGCATCATTATTACATAACATCTTTACATAACCCACTGCCAAGCCAAGTGAGAACCATAGCCCAGCCAAACTGACAAATAACCTTAGTGGTCACAGCCAGCATTACTCTCTCCTACCACCTGCCAGATATACTTGGCTAAAGATGTAAGGTTTTTTTGTTTTTTTTTTACTGTTTTTGTAAATAACAATATTGGATAATGAGATCGTCAATAATGAGTAGGTGTCCCCTTCCAAAGCCTTCAGTGGCTTCCAGTTTCCAGAATCCCGATTGCAACTGCCTGACCCTCTGCAGTCTGGTTCCAGCTCCCTCACCCTGCTGCCTCCTTCACCACTCCAGCCTCCTGACCCCACGACACTCCACTCACTTGCTCTGCCCGCTTCTCAGACAAGACAGCCTTTCCCACCTTGTGCACACTGGCCAAGTCTTAACAGGAAACTCATTGGTCAAATGTATGGATGTGAGTGCCAATGCTAATGATAAGTTCAGGCCTTTTCCAATCAGCATTCCCTAGCTAACAAGACAGTCGTTACAGGGTTGATGATAAAAATTGTTTTAACCAAATACAAACTCTCAAGCAACATACAGCAGCTGACCATTATTTATCAGGAGACCAAATACTGAACGAACAGTTGCTTTGCAACTTCTCATGTCCGGAAGAAGATGGGCTCCAAAGGAAGGCATGAACTACATGCCCAGCTGTGTGTTGAGTATTTGTGTGGGGGGTGCTGTGTCTGCTCGGGAGCTACCAAAAGAGAGAAACAAAGCAGGCTGCGACCTCACAGTGCACTTCCAGACAACCCAGGGATGCACATGACATAGAGAGAGCCACTTCACAGCACGCTGGCTGGTGCCATGGAAGCAGGTGGGAAGAGCTCAGGGGACACAGCTCATGAAAGGCGCTTGCCTGGAAGGAAGGCGAGGAGCTCATTACTGGAGAAGAGACTGAGGCAATGCCAGACGACAGTTGGGGATGTCTGGGTAATAAGACCAGTTTAACTGGAGATGGGGAAGTAAACATTGATGGTGCTCAACAGCCAGCTAAAGGTTGGCAGTTTGAGTTCACCCTGAGGTGCTGTGGAAGAAAGACCCGGAGACCTACTTCTCAAACAGTCAGCTGTAGAACACTCTTTGGGGCTCAGTTCTACTCTCTGTAGGAGCACCATGATTTGACAGCAACCCCACGGCAACTGATGGCTAGTTACTGGGGGAAAGGGTTCTTTTATGGATGGAGCACTAGATTGTGGACTGTTTTGTACATAAAAATCTTTTTTTTAAGTCATTTTATTGGGGGCTCATACAACTCATCATAAATCCAGACACACATCCATTGTGCATTAAAGAACTAGAGGAAAGATGTATGTTTTATCGTTGCTACACTGTACCCTGCCTGGCTGGTCTCCTCCCCACGACCCTTCTGTAAGGAGATGTCCAGTTGCCTACAGATGAGCTTTGGGTCCCCAATCTGCACTCCGCCTCATTCACCATGATGTGATTTTTGTTCTTTGATGCCTGATCCCTGATCCCTTTGACACCTTGTGATCACATAGGTTGGTGTGCTTCGTCCAGTGGGCTTTGTTGCTTCTCAGCTAGGTGGCTGCTTGTTAATCTTCAAGCCTTTAAGACCCCAGATGCTATATCTTTTGATAGCCGGGCACCATCATCTTTCTTCACCATGTTTGCTTATGCACACATTTGTCTTCAGTTATCGTGTCGGGAAGGTGAGCATCATGGAATGCCAGTTTAGTAGGGAGTACTTGAGTGGAGGCCCAATGCCCATTTGTTACCTTAATACTAAACCTATAAATATATGCACATAGATCTAATTCCCCATCGTCATACATAAATATATTTACATATGTACATGGCTATATTTGACCTCTATAAATGCCCTTTGCCTCCTAGTTCTTTCCTCTATTTCCTTTTACTTTCCTCTTGTCCCACTGTGATGCTCAGCCTTCATTTGGGTTTCAGTAATTTCTCTCCATTACATTGCCCTTGATCGAGCCCCATAAACTCTTTAAGCCAATATTTTTCATGCTGCAAGTTGTGACTTATTAGGTGGCAAAGCCCATTTAATCTTAAATTCCATTAAAATAATTTTTAAAAACTAGAATAGAATAGAAAATATGAGTGCTGAATGGTAAAGGGTAAGTATTGCTATAGGAAACATTTGTTTCTCATATATATGTATGTACAAGGGGGCTTCAAAAGGTTTGTGGATAGAGAATGAAAAAGACAATGTAGGTGAATATAAAATATATTTCTAATCAAAGGTCATGGCCAGAAGCTTTGGGAAATGCCTGACAAGATCAAGAGGTCAACTTATGTCCCCAAACCCTTAACCTCTCTGCCATCAATTCAATTCCAACTCCCACCAACCCTATAGGACAGGGTAGAATTTCCCCCTGTGCATTTTTGAGACTATTTGGCAGTGGTTCTCAACCTTCCTAATGCCACCACCCTTTAATACAGTTCCTCATGTAGTGGTGACCCCCTCCACCCATAACGTTATTTTCGTTGCCACTTCATAACTGACATTTTGCTCCTGTTATGAATCTGGTGACCCCTGTGAAAGGGTCATTCACCCCCAAAGGGGTTGAGACCCACAGTTGAGAACTGCTGCTCTATAGGAACAAACAGCCTCATCTTTCCCCCACAGAGCTTCTAGTAGTTTAGAACAGCTGACCTTGCTGTTAACAGCCCAATAACTAACCACTATGCCACTAGGGTTCCTATTCAAGCTATCTAAAGCTACCTTAACACCTCTGTCTCCTGGTAGCACCCACCACAGGGCCCTGGGTACTGGCATTTCTATTTGTTGATGAACTTGCAGGGAATGAAGATCTGGTGAAGGTTCATGAGCAGGAAGTAATGGGTAGTGTTTAAAAGGTTGATTTAGTAGCCGAATGGGTTAAAGGGCCTCGTGGCACAGTGGTTAAGTGCTCAGCTGCTAACTGAAAGGTGGGCAGTTCCAACCCATTTAATAGTTCTGTGGGAAGGAGACCTGATGATCCATTTCCGTGGAGAGTATAGCCCAGAAGACACTATGGGGCAATTCTCTCTGTCAGATGGGGTCGATAGGCAGAATCATGGCCCTCTAACCATGACCTCGACACATTAGGATGGCTTGGGGAGGGGAAAACCAGTTCAGATGCGTGCCTGAGCCCAGGTTTGAGTGATGAGGGCCAGTGCAGGGTATTTGCAGCATTGGGAGGTGGGGGAATGGAAGGGGGCCCAGGAATGGCTATAATAGTGCTTCGTTTTTTAAATACACAAGGAATTTTTGTTTCCATTTTAGAATCGTGTTACTTGACGGTTTTTAAATACACAAAAGGAATTTTTGTTTCCATTTTAGAATCGTGTCACTTGATGGCATCTTAGACCAATGAATCAACGCCACAAGTGTTTATTGACACCGTCTGTGAAGCAAATGTTAAGGCCGTTGTGCTGTCGATTACTGGGGAGTTTTTGTATCGGGCACAAACGAGCTCTTGTTGGCAGCAGATTAATCTGAGAAAATGTCTCTCTGAGGCTTGGGAATCCAGCCTAATGTCATGAGGGTTTTTTGGGTCACATCTCAGAAGTGCTGATCAGTTCTGATTCAAAGCTGGAGAAGGGCACATATGCTCTTGGGAGATGATGGTTTGAGAGAGTAGGGCAGGAAACCAGAAATCAGTGAGGCGGCGGCAGCCTTCCCCGAGCACTGAGATCTGTCCCTTTACACCCACACTTAACTTTGCTTTGCTCTGTCTACCCTAGGCAGTGGCTCAGCCTGGGGGCAGCACAGCGCAGCCACCACAGCAGACCACAGTCAGCCCTCCGCGACCCTGCCAGGACCCGCCACCCCCCCAGGACCCATCTTTCCGGACGCAGATCACTCTCCTGAAGGTTCTTCTCTGGTTAGTCCTACTGGGACTGTTTGTGGAACTGGAATTTGGCTTGGCCTATTTCGTCCTGTCCTTGTTCTACTGGATGTATGTCGGGACACGGGGTCCGGAAGAGAAGAAGGCGGGTGAGAAGAGTGCCTATTCGGTATTCAACCCGGGCTGCGAAGCCATCCAGGGCACCCTGACTGCAGAACAGCTGGAGCGGGAGCTACTGCTCAGACCCCTGAAGGGCACATAGGGCCCCGTGCCGCTGCCACCAGGCCAAGCTCCACCACAGCCTTCTGAGCCTCAGGCCTGGCCTTGACTCCGCGTGCACAAGACTGAGCTGTGGTGACCCTGCAGCTCTTCGGCGATCTTCCCCGCATCAGCTGGGACTTTTCCCTGGGGTTTTGGTGAACCTAAATCACTGGCTGGAACAATTTTATAAACATGTCATACTCGAGAGGGGCCTTGTTCGTTTCATTCAAGAAAGATGATTTGAGAGCTCTAAAAGGCATTGTGGAAATTAGCTGCTAAAAATATCCTGCTATGTGAAGTCGTGGTTAGGCACATAAGGGCTGTGTATTAAAAGTAAAGCTCTCTCTAAGCCTTATATATATATATATATGTGTGTGTGTGTATAAAATAAATACAAGTTATCATCAAGTTGACTTCGACTCAGGGGGACCTCCACGTGTGTCAGGTTATAATTGTGCTCCGTGGCATTTGCAAGAGCTGGGGTTTGGTAAATAAACTGCCTGGCCTCTCTTCTAAGACACCTCTTGAGTGAGCCTAGTCACATTCACCATGTACACCACCCAGGTTTCTAGCATGTGGACAGTTGTAAGCTGCAAGAGTTTTTGTGTATTTGTCCTTGTTTTTGCTTCCGGCAGCCACTCTCAATTTTCCTCTCTCCATCATGTTGAGAAATAATAGAACATCTTTTTTTTTTTTTTCAGAAACGGGTCCCCACTGCCCACCACCATCTCAGCTCTCCTGTTCTGCCCCAACTCAAAATGAGAGAAGAGGCAGCCAAACCCTAAGTGTAGGGAGGGGTCAGTAGTCAATATGAGCAAAGCTGATAAGCAGTTACTCGTGAGACATTCAGCAAGGAAAAAAGTCTCGAGTGTGTACACAGGACGGGCTGAGAATGGTGTTCAGACCCATCAGCTGTTTGGCTTGTTGCTTATTTTCCTAGGGCTTTAGAGTGAAGCAGCCCCTTTCCCCTGAGCCTCCGGTGTGAGACTCTGTAAAGAATGATAATCAGACATGATTTCTGTGTTTCTTTGCCTTTCAGCACAAAGGGAAAGTTTGGGTTTGTTGGAATTGGGCCAAGCAAACCATTACGTCCTTTTTTCTAGCTCATACTGATGAATAAGAGGACTGGAGTTTTGAAAGCATTATACTTCCCCAAGCCCGAGAGTTAAGAAATGAATGATGCTTTCAGTAGCTTGAGCAACTTCAGAGTCCATCTATCGATTCTTATATTGTGAAAGAAACTTTCATCTCCGTGAGACATTACTAAGTCTAATGGTGCCCCAGGGCTGACATAACAGTGACTGCTCTTGGCTGCTGACTGGAAGGCTGGCGGCTCAAGCCCACTCATGGTGGGCTGGCAATCTATGTCCCCCAAAGCCAGCCATCGAAAGGAGCACAGTTCTGCTCTGCAGGGCACCCAAATGGGGTTGCCATGAGTTGTAGTGGTCTCAAGGGGACATGGCAACCCTAGAGGACAACGCAGAACTGCCCTGTGGGTTTCTGAGATGGTGACTCTAAGGGAGTAGAAAACCTTGTATCTCTGCCACTAAGCCCAGTACCCAAACCAAACCAACCTGCAGCCATGGAGTCAACTCGGACTCCTAGCCAGCCTGCAGTTCAGGGTAGAACTGCCTCTCTAAGTTTTCGAGACTGTTCTTTAAGGGAGTAGAAAGCCAGCCTCTTTCCCTGATTAAGCCCATTGGAATCATATTTATTTATTTAAAATAAAT